GCCGACGCCGACGATGACGATGACGACGACGACGACGACGACGACGACGACGACGACGACGACGAGGACGACGACGCCGTTGCCGCCGCTGCCGCCGCCTCCGCCGCCGCCGACAACGACGACGCCGACGACAACAACGACGACGACGACGACGACGACGACGAGGGCGCCGACGACGGCGCCGACGCCGACGCCGACGACGACGACGCCGCCGCCGACGCCGACGCCGACGCCGACCTCTACGCCGACGCCGACGCCGCCGCCGCCGACGCCGACGCCGACGACGGCCACGACGACGACGACGACGACGACGACGCCGACGCCGACGACGACGACGACGGCGGCGCCAGCGGCGGCGGCGGCGGCGGCGGCGGCGACCACGGGGCACTCCAGCGCGGCGTCGGCAACCCTTTCTTGACAGTACCCCGCCCCAGGAGAGGTCCCCGATCGCCCGTGAAGATTCCAAGACGGCACAAGAGGCCCGCAGAGAGCCCCGAGAACCCTCCCAGGGGACCCCCCCAGAAAGGGCCCCGAGATGCCCCAGGACGGAAGCCATCACAGGCTTCCTTCCTCTCCCGTCTTCTGTTCCTCCTTCCAGCTCCCCCCATGTTTGCTTCCATGTCCCATCATGTTGCGTCTTACCGTGCCTCATCTCCCTCCTGCCTTTGTTCTCTTGTCCGTCTTCCTTTCCTCTGCCTACCCTTCCGTCCACTTCTCTGCGCAGTCCTTCCATAAAAGTTCAAGAGTGCCCCGACAGCACTTCAAGAGAGGAACGGAATCACACGAGCCAATGCAGGGCGCCATGCTGGCATCCCCTTCCGTACCCCTTCTCTTTCTCGCGAGTCCTGCTCACTTGCGCCAGTGCTCCCGGGTCGGGGTTCGTAGCGTTCTCAGCTTGCAGTTGTTGGAGCTTCTACAGCCTCCGCAAAGGGAGGGAAGGGCAGAAGGCCAGCGAAAGTAAGGCAAGGCATCTTGTGTCAATCACGTGAAACCCTGAGATCCTCGCGCAATCGGAAGACATACGACGGACCGTTGTTGGTGGGTGTCGGCATCCAGGGGCCCTTGCCGGGCCCCAGGACCATTAAAACATGCAGGATGAGAATCAGTCTTCGGAGGGGCCCAAACCTCCAGAAATCCACGTTGTGACAAGAAGACGCCGCTGGATGTCTGGCAGGCGTGACCCTCCGCCAGAGTAACCATTTGGTGCGGGCGGTCCTCCCCAGCATTGGCTGGCGCGCTGGGACTTTAACCTCCCGGCTGCCCCCTGAAACCGCGCACCAGAAATCTCCATTGCCCAGCCTCCCTCGTGCGTGCAGCCGACTGTCTTGTCCGCGGAAGTTGGCAGCGGTGCACGGCACGCGGAATTCAAGTTGGCCCCCATAAGAGGCAAACGTTGGCTTATCAAGGGCGCCTAGAGTGGGCAAAATGATTTGTCGTCTGCTTCATGAGCGTGTTTGCTTCGATGATTCGTTTTACCGGGGGGTGATGGCCTAGCTTGCACGGCTCGGTGCGGAGTGGCATGAATAATTATTCTCTCCACTCACCATGCTCCACGTCCACGGCTACAGCCAAAACTCACAGCAGTTATATGGCAATGATGCAGCATTACATTCTGGGACTAAGCAATCACATGATCATCAGAATTCTGAGGTCCGTGCGGATTTCTCGGATCCGCGCTGTACCCCCTTGCTTGGCGCGCGGAGCGTGCCAGGGCGGCGCCTGAGGGGACCGCCAGGGAGGCGGCAGCGCCGATCCGAGGAGTCCGCGCGGACCCTCAATGTGTTATGTTTATGTCATTGTTTGTTTCCTTGTACATGGAGGTTGTGTTTGCATCTTCCCTCTGCCTCTTCGTCACACCGAGCTGTTTGCCTGGCGCAGGTGTGAGCAGTTGCATGCAATTGCTCTGCGTGGCCGTCTAGAGGTATTGCGCTGTTATCTCGCGTCCTCGCTGCGCAGACATCCGATAGTTTCCTTGCGTTTTCCCATGCGGGGTCCCCGAAACTCCCGACTCTTTCCCCAGGCCCGGCGCTTCATCCCGAGCCGCCGTGGAACGTCGGGGGCGGAAAAGAGGGGGGTGATGACTAGGGGGGGTGGATATCATGGCGTGGGCCATGATATTTCCCCAGATTTCATGGCGCCTCTTCTTATTTCATTACGTTCCTGGCCCCCCCGCTGGGCCGCGCACATGCCGCCGGTCATGATTTGCACCCCCCCTTTTGGACACCCCCCTCTTGGCCGCTCCCGAGAACGGTCCCGGGGCCTGGCCAGGGCCCCGGGAGGGCGACAACGGCCAGAAATTTCCCGTCATGACTCTTGCCTTGCCCACGACGCAAGCGTCTCTGGGTGCGGATCTTGCCTCTGCCATTGTTCCGCCGGGGCGAGGGCGCCCTCGGTGCCCTCCGCGCGGCCCGCGTGCCCGCAGCTCTGCTTGCCACGCGGCTCCGCCCCGGGCCTCGGCCCTCGCGGCCTCCGCCGCGGCCCGCCCGCGGCGAGGAGCTACGGGGCAAGGGCGGCGGCCGCACGCTGGTGGTGCGCAAGATCCAGCGCCTCGGCTTCGACTCGCCCGAGAAGCTGAAGGCGAGGCTCAGCGAGCGAAGATCGGTATAAGATAAACTTTTTCGCCGTCGGGGGCACCTGCCCCTGGGCGGCTGGAAAGTTTATACCCCTGCGGTGCCACCGTAAGGGTATAAACTTTCCAGCCGCCCAGGGGCAGGTGTCCCCGACGGATGAAGAAGTTTATTTTATACCGATCTTCGCCCGTTAAGAAGCTCCGGGCCTCCCGGGTGTGGTCCGAGCAGACGCGGTCAGAGGGTCGCGCCGCGTCGCCGATGCGCCGCCGATGCAACGCCGATGCATCGGCGGTGCGACGCGATCCTCCGACACCATCGGCTCCGACCCCATCTGGGAGGCCTCTGGAGACGGGGGCCCAGGGAGCCACAGAGATGGGCCGCGAGAGGGGCGAGGAGAAGGCGGCCTGGTGAGGCAAAGAGGGCGCGCGATCCTGATATTCCTACAGTTTCGCCGGTCGTCAAGACGGCTCCCTCTTCGCTCCGGCCCTGCACGTCGTCTCAGCGGCGGCGGGCCGAGGGAGGGGAACGAGAAGGACGAGGCCTTCTCAGAAGGCGGCGGGGCTCCTCAGAAGCACTGGTTCAGAGCCCTGAATCCTCAGGGCTAACTCGGGTCAGGGCTAACTCGGGTTCGCTTCTCGGGGTTCCGAACCCGAGTTACCCCGGGCCCGAGTTACCCCGGATAACTCGGGCGTCCAGAGCCCTAAATCATCAGAGGTAACTCGGGTCAGGGCTAACTCGGGTTCGTTTTTCGGGAATCCAAACCCGCGTTACCCCGGACCCGAGTTACCCCGGACAACTCGGGCGCCCAACTGGCGCCTTCTGAGAGGTTTTCTGTATCTTCGGGGGGGGGGTCTAGAACACTTCTCAGAAGGCCAGGAGACTTCCGAGCCTGCTGAGGAGGCCCGCCCCTTTCTACTTCCCCCCTCGCCTCGGCGCCGATGCTCGTTCTGGCCCTGCATGTCTTCTGCAACTCTACGAGCAGTTGCCACGGTTTCGGGACCAATGCACAGCCAATGTGGCCGTGCGCGCAGCGTTTGCTCAAGAGTCTGCCCAGAATCAGACTGAGGCCTCGCAGGCAGATTATTTCTGAGTAACCGCCGTAATCATGTCAGTCTAGCAGCAGCTCGAGCGGTATGTGTCGTCATTTCGTATATGCTTAGCAGTGGCTATCGGCTGTCGCTGACATCGCCGATGCTGCCGTCACTCACACCGCCTCCCCTAGTCGTCGTCATAATCTTGGTTGCGAGAGCCGCCACCGTCTCTTGCTCCTGATCCTCTCCTACGCCACCCTCTCTTCTCCCCCTCGTCGCTTTCCTTGTTTCCCACCTGTGGTGTTGGGTCCTCGTTTTGAAGAGACAGCGCCCGCGTCCTCCCTCCTTCTCCTCCTCCTCCCCTCCCTCCTCCTCCCTCCTCCCCCTCCTCCCTGCGTTTCGCATACCCAGCACAACGTTTCGTGGCCCCAGAGGGAGCCCCACCGAAGGTCCCAGTGCTGCCATCCGCATGCGTCCCGCACACCCAGTACAGCGTTTCGTGGCCCTCCTCCCCCTGCTCCCTGCATTTCACCCACCCAGTACAGCGCTTCGTGGCCCCAGAGGATGCCCCACCGAAGGTCCCAGTGCTGCCATCCGCATGCGTCCCGCACACCCAGTACAGCGTTTCGTGGCCTTCTTCCCCCTCCTCCCTGCGTTTCACCCACCCAGAACAGCGCTTCGTGGCCATAGGGAGCCCCGCACAAGGTCCCAGTGCTGCCGTCCGCATGCGTCCCGCACACCCAGTACAGCGCTTCGTGGCCTCATAGGGAGCCCCACCGAAGGTCCCAGTGCTGCCATCCGCATGCGTCCCGCACACCCAGTACAGCGTTTCGTGGCCCTCCTCCCCTTGCTCCCAGCGTTTCACCCGCCCACCCAGTACAGCGCTTCGTGGCCCCATAAGGAGTCTCACCGAAGGTCCAGCGCTGCCATCCGCATGCGTCCCGCACACCCAGTACAACGTTTCGTGGCCTTCCTCCCCCTCCTCCCTGCGTTTCACCCACCCAGTACAGCGCTTCGTGGCCCCAGAGGGAGCCCCACCGAAGCTCCCAGTGCTGCCGCCCGCATGCGTCCCGCACACCCAGTACAGCGTTTCGTGGCCCCACAGGAAGCTCCACCGAAACCACCAGTGGGACCGTCCGCATGCGTCCCGAAACACCTAATTTGGCACGCTCGCCCACCCAGTACAGCGTCTCGTGGCACCATCGGGAAAACCACCAAAGGCCCCAGTGCCGCCGTCCGCATGCGTCCCGAAAACACAATGAGCATTTTCACCCGCACAGTACAGAGCTTCGTGGCCCCATAGGGAACCCCACCGACGGCCCCAGTGGGACTGTCCGCGAGCGTTCCGAAACACCCAATGTGGCATTTCACTCACCCAGTACAGCGCTTCGTGGCCCTATAGGGAGCTCCACCGAATGCTTCAGTGCCACCGTCCGCATGCGTCACGAAAACCCAATGTGGCATTTTCACACGCCCAGTACAGCGCTTCGTGGCTCCATAGGGAGCTCCACCGAAGCGCCCAGTGGGAGGGTCCGCGTGCGTCCAGGAAACCCAATTTGGTACACCACCCACTCAGTACAGCGTTCCCCCCACCCAGTGCAGCGCTTCGTTGCCCCATGGGGAGCTTCATGGTTGGGTCCTTCGCCAGGATAATTCTACCCCGAGTTTCCTCATTCCCCACTCTGTCCCTTTTTCGTCTTGGCACGGCTACTTGAGCACGCTCGCCCTTCCAGTGTTAACAACAGAAGTTTGCCCTGGCTTGTTTCAAAAAGCTTCCAGGAAGCTAGCCCAGATGTCTGAAATCATGATTTTCTTGATCGTACTTTCGGCTGTTTGAGGAATTGGTACCGGCGCTCGGGTTAAAGGGCTTCAGGGGCCCGCGCATTTGAGAAGCCCGGGGGGCGCCGTCGGGATCGGCACCCCCCCCGCGTGGCACCCAGGCCACGCATCCTATCTTCCTCCAGTTTTGCTCCGGTGGTGCGAAGACCCCACTCGAGTCGAGAAGAAAACTCAGCGTAAACAAAAATGTTCGGGGGCCCGCGCGGATGTCTTGGGAGTCGGTGCTGGACCCCCCTGGCTGCGCCTCTGGCGCCGCCCCTGGCCCGGGAGGGGGTGTCCAGCGCCGATTCAAGGAATATGCGCGGACCTCTGAAAGTTCATGTTTGTGCGTGGGTTTCTTCCTTACGAAGGGGGATCACCGCTGGCCAAAGAGTCGGCCGCACATCTCGAGGCTCGCGATCGAATGTCCCGTGCAGCGCGTAGACAGCAGCGGCAGGAGCAGGGGAGGAAGCAGCCAGCGAGGAGGGAGGGTGTGGCCGGGGAGGGCGTCGGTCTGGCGGGCGGGGGGCAGGGCAGATGCGCTTGTGCTGCCCGATTGAAAGCTATCGCTCTCCAGGGAGCGCCGGCCTGGCGCCCTCTGTGCGGCGTCGTGACCGCGAGCCCCCCCTCCTCTCTTCTCCCCCCCCTGCTCTGACCCCAGGGCTCGGCGGCGCCAGAGGGGGGGGGAAGGAGGGGGGGGGGACCAGGGGGTGTGTGCATGGGGAGAGCGAGGGGGAGGGGGGGGGGGGGGGGGGGGGCGTATCGTGGCGAGGGCCACGGGATCTCCCAGACTTCGTGGCGCCTTCCTTTGCTTTCGGCGCAGTCCCTGCCCCCCCATCATCCGACAGCCCCTCTCGTCCGCACACGTGCCTCGGGCCATGGTGTGCTCGCTCCCCTGTCCTCGCCTTCTGGGTCAGCCGCGGAGGAGGGAGGGAGGGGGGGGGGGGGGAGGGAGGGAGGGGGGGGGGGAGGGGGGGGGGAGGGAGGGAGGAGGGGGGGGAGGGAGGGAGGAGGGAGGGGGGGGGGAGGAGGGAGGGAGGGAGGGAGGGAGAGGGGGGGAGGGGGGGGGCGAGGGCGGGGGGGGGGGGGGGGCGAAGATGATCCCGCCTCCCGCGTCGCGGTCTGGGCCAGAGCGACCGCCCTTCTCCAAGAGGGCGGCGCGGGGCACGAAGTTTGGTGGCCTGGCTTCCCCTTGGCCCCCCTCCTTCGGCGCAGCCGAGCCGAGAGAGGCGCACTTCGAGCAGTACGGCGCGGTGGAGGGCGTGCTGATCAACCATTCGTACGTCCGCAGCACGGGGCGCCGGGCGAAGCAGGCAGGTGCCCTCTGCGCGCGCGCAAGGAGAGGGCGGGGGTGCAGGGAGAGCAGGGGGAAGAACGGGCAACGTCAGGAGAGGATGCGGTGGGCAACTTTGGGATAGCGTGTCATTCCGCCGGTTCTGGCCCACCACGCTTCGGCGCGACACGCTATACACCTCCCAGTCCCCAAGCTTCAACGTTCCGAGCCGTTCCGAGCCTTCCGCCACGCGGGGTGCAGCGACACGCTATCCGCTCGCAAGGCATAGCGTGTCGCCAGGGCCGCTGCCGCGACACGTTATGCAGAAGTTCCTGACCGTGGGCTCAGGGGGTGGGCCAATCGACCCCTAATCGCCCGCGCATCGCCGGTAGGGGCCCGATAGCCCACCCCGCCCAGCAGCGTGCGGACTCATTGCCAGGAGCCCATCGCCAATGCATCGGCGACGCATCGCGGGTTCCAGCTCGATGCTTCCCCCCCTCTTAGCTCGGGACGACCGACATGGGTACGGAAAGAATGGGTACAATGCCCAACTGCAGTTCCTGTTCATTTTGAACTGGACTCGCTGTCCGCGCCGCTGCGGCCTGTGTCTATTTAAGACAGGAGGCCGCCTACCCAACAGCGGCCGCTGTTGGTTTGGGACAACACTTGTAGTTGGGCATTGTACCCATTTTTTCCGTACCCATTTCGAGCGTCCAAATTAGCTGGTCCTCCTCGTCGGCGCGCCCGGTGGAAGTGAGAGGGGACGGGCCTTCTCAGAAGGCGGCGGGGCGTCTCTCCGAAGCCCTGCCTGGCCTCCTGAGAAGGCCTCCGTGTCGTCGGGGAGGGCCCCGGCAGCTTCTCAGAAGGCCCCAGGCCGTCCGAGCCCTCTGAGGAGGCCCGCCACGGCTCGCCGCCGGTCTGCGAGCACGCCAGCGGGCACTTTGCCAGGTGAACGAAAAGTGACACGAACATAAAAAACTCGGAGGTCCGCGCGGATTTCTCGAATCCGCGCTGGACCCCCCTGGCGGCGCCTCCGGCGCCGCCCCTGGTGCGCTCCGCGCGCCAGGGAGGGGGGTCCAGCGCCGATCCGAAAAATCCGCGCGGACCTCCGAGTTTTTTTTATACATATATATATATATATATATACACACACGCTTACATAATTTGTCGTTCCCCTATTTGCACGTCCCCCGCGCTGGGGGCTCGCGACCAGCTCCCCGTGGCGTCAGTCTTGGCGCCGCCTTCCGCTCGCGGCCGCCCCCCGCGGCGGGGTGCCCGCGGCGCGTGCCGCGGCGTTGCCCCGGCAACGGGGAAGCGCGTCGGCCCGCGATGACGACACAGATGGCCAAGTGCACAGACGAGAGAATTTAAGGAGGAGCAGGAGGAAGGAGGAGGAGGAGGAGGAGGAGGCGGAGGAGGAGGAGGGCGAGGATCAAGCAATGGACGTCGTCTCCTGTCCCCCCATTCGCCCCAGCCCATCCAGTGCAGCAGTCCTGCCTTTCGCCGACTCGTGCCTCTCGTCAAGAGAGTCGCGCAGCGGGACTCTGCAGCAGATTCACTTCTGCCGCAGGCCCCGCACTTGCCGCCACTGCTGCCAGAGGTAAGTGGGGATCCAGCATCAGGTTTACGTCGGGCCTGTCCCTCTACAGGGGGGATTTTCAAAAATAGTCCAAAAATAGTCTGGGGACTATTTTTGAGTATTTTGGGGCATCTTTTGAGTCGTGTTGGGTTTTTTTTTCGTCCAAAGGTAAGTGGGGGTCCTGCATCAGGCACGAGCGCAGGAGGATCAAGCAGCGGCGGCGAAGCGTCACGGCTTGCCTATACGGCTTGGCGTTGGTTTGGAATTTGTGACCAGGAGGCTTCCGACGATGACGAGGGCGGCATTGATATCCATGGCCAATCCACGATAGGACCCCCACCAGCGTCCAACATCTGGATCCGTATCCGATGGTTCCTTATCCAGGGCTCTCTTCGCTGGCTCACCAAATAATATTCTAAGAACTTTGCGTGGTTTGCACGACATGTTCTTAGAGCATGTATGGTTGAGGCGACCGTGGTTTAAAAGAGCCGTTGTTACGTCTTACGGTATAAGAGCATTCTGTTCTAAGAAAAAGTCGGGGTGTTATGAAATGTTGCTTTATGTCCACAGGAATGCTGGGGTGGTCGGCCCCTGCTCAACAGGACAAGGACGAGCGCGGCAGACCCGTCCCGCACGATGTGGGCGCACAGATTGTTCCCCCAGTCCGTGCTGAAGTCCGGCGCGTCAGCGGCCAGCTGCTGTGGATGAACCCAACGGCCGCCACCAACGCGCCAGGAGGGGCACGGCATATCCAAGGCCACAGTCAACGCAATGCCCATGGTGACGGAGGAGCACAGCATACCGACTTTACTCGGGCTGTCCCAGTGCAGAACAGATCGGCAGTGGAAAACGGCACGAGCAGACGCATGGAGCACCGCTTAAACGAGGATGTTCAGACGGCGCTTGTTCGAACGATATCGCCCTTTCTTTCCAGCTGGCGCTCTCCCACAGTTGAGCTTCCTGCTGGGGAGGAGCGTTTTGTTTGCTACGAGTGCGGGTTCTCGGCGGCGCGCGAATAAATCTGGCGGCCCACCACAGGAAGTTCTGGAAGGGCGGGGGCGAGCCGGAGAACAATGGCGGCGAGTACAGTTTGCCCTGCGTGCTTGAAAGATTGTTCGGGGAAACGCAAGACCCGAGTAAGCCGGAACTCGGGTTTGCCGACGTTTTTTTGACGAGCGCGTCCTGGATTTTGACGGTCCAGTTTTCGTGGGATGTCTGCAGCGGGAGCTCGCGTCAAATTTCAGATCGGGCCTCGTCATTTTTATGATGGCCCCGTCGGGCCAACCCGAGTCTTACGTCTCCCCGAATTCTCATTTTCACCACTGGACCTGCGTCGCCCTCCTGCAGAGGGTCCCCAGGTGCGCCCGACGCTGGAGAGCCCCTGGGACGCACGCGCCTCCAGAGGCGGCGGAGATGTGTCGGGTCGGGCGAAAGGGGGGGGGGGGGGGGGGGAAAAGAGGGGTTACGAAATCTGCTGCATGCAGCTGGTTTCGGCCCCGCCGCCGGGCCCATTCCTCGATACATGGGCGCCTCCCGGCGCCGGGAGGCGCCGGGAAAATCAGCTACGTGAGCTGATTCTCAAACCCCCCCTTTGCTATCCCCCCCTTCCGCCCGACCCGGATGTGGCAGCAGGCAGGAGCCAGGGCGGAGTGACTATGCCACCGACTGCCCCCCGCGGCGAGGGCGCAGGGGCCTCGTCTTCCGGGCCCTCGCCCCCCCTGTTCTCCCTCGTCGTCGTATTGGCCTCCCTCCTCCGATGCCGCTCGGGCCTCTCTCGGCGCGCACGGGAGCGTCCCTGCGGGGAGCCTGCGATCCCCCCTCCCCTCCCCTCCATCCTCCTCCCGTTCGGGGGAGGGGAAACATCAGTGACGCGCTGCCGTTGGGAGCCCGTCGGCGTGCTTTATTCTCTCGTTGCTGTCCGATGGCATGCCGCTTCTGCAACAGACTGCAAGCTGAGGGCTCCCTCACGGCGTCGTGTCACTGATGTTGATATCGCTCCCCGAGGAGGTGCAGGAGCAGGAAAAGAGGATGGGGGAGGAGGAAGCAGGAGGAGCAGGGAGGGAGGAAGGGAAGGAGGGAGGAAAGGGCAGGGAGAAGGAGCAGACGAAAGAGGAGGAGGAGGAGGAGGAGGAGGAGGAGGAGGAGGAGGAGGAGGGGGGGAGGGGGAGGGGGAGGAGGGGAGGAGCACCTCTCCTCACTCCCCCCTCGGCGCCCCCCCACACCCCCCACCCGGCGCCCCCCACCGGCCAGGCTCCGGCCACGCGCGTCCGCCCGGCGCACCTCGGTTTTGTCGTCATGGGCAGCGCCGCGGGGGCGGAGGCCCGGAAGATGAGGAGGAGGAGGAGGAGGAGGAGGAGAGGGAGGAGGAGGAGGCGGAGGAGGAGGAGGAGGAGGAGTGGATTTGCATCACGTGTATACATATGTGCGGATACCTATGTATATATATATATTATTATATTATATTGTGTTATCGTATAGTATAGTATATTATATTATGTTATGTTATATTATGTTATGTTATGTTTTATTTTTTATTATATTATATTTTATTATATATACATATATATAGCATGTATGTAAGTGTCTGCATGTATGTATGTATGTATGGAATAATGTATGCATGTGTGTATGTGTGCATGGTTGCATGCATGTGTGTATGTATGTACGTACGTAAGTATGTACGTATGTATGTGTGCACATATGTATGTGTGTGGCGTTTAGTATGTGTGCATGCATGTATGTTTGCACGTCTGTTTGTATGTATGTATGTCTGTATGTATGTATGTATGTATGTGTGTACGTATGTATGTATGTGTGGATGCCTGGTTGTACGCACGTGTACATAAACCTGTACGCATACGTGTGCATCCACGTATGAATACGAGCATGCACATACAGGTACATGAATATAACCACATAAACATATACATGTACATAAACATATACATATACATATGCACACCTGTGAATATAGATCTATATGCGTATGTAACCATTTGCATACACATGTGCATGCACATATACACATTAATATACATATACGTATACAGATGCGTATACGTATACATACGCGTACACATACACATTAACATTGTCATAGACATATACATGTACACATCCATAGACATTGCATAGCCGATCGTCGCCGTACTAATTGGTCCCTCGGTTCGCTATATGATCGGGTTGGAACGGTTAAGGCGCGCGGTCGTTTGTGAGCTTCGCTTGCGGAGTTACTGGAGCTTGTCAGAAGGCATCTTTCTTGGGAGCCGTTTGAGGGCCTTAGGTGGCTCTTGGGGGCCTTCGGGGGGCCTGCTGGGGGTCTCGAGGGCTTTCTTGAAGCGGAGGGCTCGAAATCTCAATTCGAGTTCTCCTCTGAGGGCCCTCTTGGGACGTCTCGGGTTCCTCTTAGTGGCCTGGGCCGTCTTGGGGTGATCTGGGAGACCATCTTGGACGCCGTGAAGGTCGACAAATCGCATATGTTAAAAATTGATGGATTCTTAATCAATCGCTTCGCTCACTCCGCCAGCCCATAATGCGTAATCGCTGCGGTTTGGCTGCGCGTCCGTGAGCCATGCTGTGCTGATGGGGGGGGGACGTTGTTTTCGGTGGTGGGTGCACCAGTCCGGGGTAGTTGGTTCGACGTTTGCGGCTTTCAGTGGTTTGTGGCGCCATCGTCTGCTCTCATGGGGCTCGCGGATGGTGGTTTGGCGCGGTCCGGAAGCTCGTGGCGAGCGAAAAGGAGGAAGAGGGAGGCGGGGAAAATCTTGTATCAATTGTGCTTTATGTTGGCGTGCTCGTGGCGAGCGAGAAGGAGGAGGAGGAGGAGGGGGACATTTGGGAGCCAAGTTTGGTCGTGGACAAGACGCGTTTTTTAGAGGCCTTTTGGGGTCTCTTGGGAAGCCTCTCGAGGGCCTCTTGGCAGTATTTCTAGAGCCTCCTGGGGCCTCCTGGGGGCCTCTTGGGGCGTCTTGGGGCCTCTTGGGGCCTCTCGGGGGCCTCTTGGGGGCGTTATGAGGTCTCCTGGGGACGTCTTGCGGCTTAGAGCGCGACATGTCCGTTCCGGTCCCCCGTCGGGGCCCGGTCTTGGAGCCGTTTTGGAGGCATCTTGGGCCATCTTGGAGGTTTCTGGGAGTCTCTTAGGGCTCTCTGGAATCGTTTCGGAACGGTCTTGAACTCTCGTACGCCGTATTGGGGTGATATTGAGGGCTTTGTGGGCCGTCTTGGAGCGCGAGTAAGCCGAAGAGGCGAGAACGCCAAAATCTTCAAAAAAGCAATGAAAATCATCAATTTTGGCTTGTTGGGGGCCTCTTGGGAGGTCTCTTGGACGCATCTTGGGGCGTCTTGGGGGCATCTTGGGCCGTCTTGAGGCCTTGTGGGGGCGTTATGAGGTCTCCTGGGGACGTCTTGCGGCTTAGAGCGCGACATGTCCGTTCTGGTCCCCCGTCGGGGCCCGGTCTTGGAGCCGTCTTGGGGGCATCTTGGGCCATTTTGGAGGTTTCTGGGGGTCTCTTAGGGCCGTCTGGGGTCGTTTCGGAACGGTCTTGAACCCTCGTAGGCCGTATTGGGGCGACATTGAGGGCTTTTGGGGCCGTCTTAAAGCGCTAGTAAGCCGAAGAGGCGAGAACGCCAAAATCTTCAAAAAAACAATGAAAATCATAATTTTTGGCTTGTTGGGGGCCTCTTGGGAGGTCTCTTGGACGCATCTTGGGGCGTCTTGGGAGCATCTTGGGCCGTCTTGAGGCCTCTTGGGGGCGTTTTGCGGCTTAGAGCGCGAAATGTCCGTTCCGGTACCCCGTCGGGGCCCGGTCTTGCAGCCGTTTTGGGAGCATCTTGGGCCATCTTGAAGGTTTCTGGGGGTCTCTTAGGGCCCTCTGGGGTCGTTTCGGAATGGTCTTGAACCCTCGTAGGCCGTATGGGGGCGATATTGAGGGCTTTTGGGGCCGTCGTGGAGCACTAGGAAGCCGAAGAGGCGAGAACGCCAAAATCTTCAAAAAAACAATGAAAATCATAAAGTTTGGCTTGTTGGGGGCCTCTTGGGAGGTCTCTTGGACGCATCTTGGGGCGTCTTGGGAGCATCTTGGGCCATCTTGAGGCCATCTGGGCCGTCTTGGGGCGCTCTTGGCTTCAGGCTGTGGGCCTGCCACATATTTGGCGTCTCCTTGGAGCGCTCCTGGAGCGCTCCAGAGGCCTCCAGGGCCGCGCCCGGGAAGTGCGGCATCTCTGGTCCCCACCCTGCCGGGGACCTGCCGGGGTACTTTTCGCCCGGGGACTCCTAGGGGCCGCCCCGCGCGCGCGAACTAGAAATACTGTTGACCTGTTACCGGAGATCTTAGCACGCCCTGGCCCGTTGGGCCGGCGAATTTGCATGTTGGAGCTTTGTTGGGAGGGCTCTTGGCGTTTCGGAGGCCTTTTGGCCCGTCTGGGCAATCTGTAGCGTTTTGGACCGATCGCTCGGCGACTCGGGGCCCCCCTTGGACCGTCTGAAAGGAGGCCTATTGGAGCCCTCTTGGCCCATCCTGGGGCACTCTGGGGCCGTCTGGGGCCATCATGGGGCGCTCGCGACCCGGCTTACTCATCGGACCCAACGTTAAGCCGGATCCGTTTCCCATGCATATGGATACTCACCGTATCAGTACAGTGTTGTCTCCATGTGTATATATATATATATATATATATATATATATATATACAGATCGATAGATAGATAGATACCCAGTTGCCTGTGGCAAACCCCGCAACCGTGCTCGTGCAACAGCGCAGCAGGACGGAGGCTTAGTGTAGGAACAGCGCGAGTCCGACAAATGGTATGATGGGGACGGGTCGCGAGCTCGACTTTACCGTCGTCCGCGCAGTAGACATGTCGAGGTCACACCCCGCAGCAGTTCAGCGCTCGGTCTGAACTTAGGAGGGTCGTGATCCCGACATCGTCTTCGCCCGCGCGGTAAGAAGGAGTCGAGCGTGCCGAGGCGCTCGGTTTTGCCTCCGCCGCCTCGCAGGCCGCGAGCCCCCGCGCGCAGCCGCGCCACGGCCTCCGCGCCTAGCCCCCACTCACAGGGGCGCTCGCGGGTGGGGAGCGGGCCGCAGCGGCCCCTCGGGGTACGTGAGCTTGATGAAGTGGATGCGCAGCTGCTCCATTGACTCCGCCAGCACGGGGGAGTGGAGCACGCTGCACACGGGGCGGGCAGCGCATCGCCCGCGAGGCTCGCAGCGCCGCCCGCGCCGCAAAGCGCAGGGTCTCCGCGTCGACGCTGTTCTCCATGTGGAGCGCGTGGTAGGTTCCGCGCGCGACAACCACCCGCTTGATGTTCTCGTTGCTATTGTCCAGCAGCGCGAGGTTCGCCACCGCCTCGGTCTGGGCGGTGGATCTGGTCGCTGCCGCCACAGCAGCAGCCAGCGGGCCACACGTCAGGTAGTGCTTCTCGTTGTCCGTGCCAGCGGCACACTGGGAGATACAGGGCCTGCGCCCGCACTCATAGATGATCCTGCTCGATGATCCGCAGAGTCCTCATCCATGTCGCGGCCCACGACGGCAGCAGCTTCTTCATGGCGATCTCCACCTTGTCGAGCACCTCAGGGTCGTTCACGAAGATGTCTTCGAGGTCGGGCAGCTCGATCTTGATCCGCCTCATAGGAACGAGCCAATCTCGTCCGCGCCCATCGCGTGCCTCGCAGCAGCATACGCCAGCCGCTGAACACGGGCAGGCTTGTCTGCTGCGAGCGACGCCCACGCGGCTTCGAGGGCAGGGGCCAGCAACGTGGACGAATAGTAGCGGTGGTCCGTCTCCGCGGACACGATTTGGTGGAACGTCTCGACGAAGGGCGGCGCTTTCCACCGGGGCGGCGAGGGATGCTGGGCGGCCCGAGCCGCGCCCAACAGGGTCTGGTCATTTCCGCACTGGTCGAGCTCCTGGAGGCGCTCGCGAATCTCGGGGAACTTGTGGAAGGTGGAAGTAGCAGCTCGGACGATCGCGGCAATTAGCGCGAGCTGCACGGACCATGGAGCGCGCGCGCCCCAGTCTCGCAGCCGCGGCCAGTCCTTGACGCTGAACGCGCCACTGGGGAACCTCAAGACAGAGGCATGGATCCAGCTCTCGACTTTGAAGGACTCGTGGGGATACATCACACACTGGGTTAAGTAGCTGGGGACAGGGAGGGCACGGCTGTTGAACCACTGGGCGGATCCCATGGAAGGAGCACCACTGGCACCGTGCATCTCGGTACACCAACGGAACTTCTGGAAGGCCTTCTTGTAGATCAGCATTCGGTCGCCCCAGGCCCATGAAGAAGACCGAGGTAGGTCAAGCGGTCGCAGATGTTGAACTCTTGGAAGCGGGGGGCGATCGCGGCCAGGGCGCTGCGCAGCTTGTTCACAAGCTCGTCATCGACAGGGCCCGCGAGTGGGATGATGTGGCACTTGGCGGGCTTCAGCGCGAGGCCCGCGAGGTCTTCCATGAGAATCAGCACCCCCTCCAGGCGGGCGAGATGGATGACCGCAGCAAGCGCTCGCCCGAGGTCATCAGCACAGGCACGGCGCAGCCCGCAGCCCCCGACTTCGAGCTTCTGCTCCAGGTCGAGGGGGAAGCAGGAGGCGCCCGCCGCGTAGAGGGCGCCATTCCACCCGCACCCCTTGACGATGCCCGAGCGGACGTGGAAGAGCGGAACGCACGAGCCCGCGCACGGGGCCGGCGCGAGGATGTTGTGGCACACCGAGTCGAAAAAATCTAGACGCTTCGCGTGTCCCCACCTTTTGCCTTTGCCGCCTGGCCCTTGTCTCGCGGCCGCGACCAAAAAAAAAAAAAAGTACCCCCGCCATCCTGGTCAATGATGCCTTCTTGGCCATCGGCGACAGCATTACCTCCTGGATAGCATTGCAAGCAAGCTGCCCCTTTCGGGGGCTTGGTGCATGAGGACTCGCGTGGTTTATCCTACGTCTTGTCCTCGCCCTCTGCGGCCACTTGCCAGCGTCGCGCGCGACTTTGGTGGCGCCACTTCCATGCGCCAAGTTCTTGGTCAGTGAGTTATCCTGGCCTTGCTGGCATCTGCGATCCCTCGCGTTGGCGCTTCTGGCTTCATCCTGGTTTCGCCCCCGCGCCATTTTGGCTGCGCCCCAACTTCGGTTGGCGAATTGCATGTGGTCGCTCCTGGACCTGGTTCCTGGCAGCTGCAGCCCGCGCCCCCTCCCGCTTCCGGTGATCCGAGGTGCCGCCTAGGCCTCTGTTTGTGGGCGCGTTTGGCAATTAGGTTCGCGCGCAGCCCGCCCGATCCGCCACTCCCCGCCCGCGCTTTCGATTGCGGCTGCTACAAAAAAGTGCCCCCACCAGACCATCCAGACACGACGCCCAGGCGAGTAGAGGGTCGTCCTGAGGGGCTTTTCGGCGTCTTGGGTGCCCCAGGGGGGCCTTGTTGGGCCGCTTCCTCTTAGGGGGCCTCCTGGGGGCCTCTCCCAGGGCCACCTCGGAACGTCTCGGGGCCTCCCGGGCGCTTCTCGGGGCCATCTTGGAGGACATCGATTGAAAAAGAAGGGGGCTTCAATTAGGGCTGCCCCCTCAGGAGACCAAAAATGGCTCCCAAACTTCGGCTGAATCAATGATTTCGGCTTCCTCGCCGAGGCGGTTTTGAACGCCCTGACCGTTCGCGGCCGCCCCCGCCCCGGCCCGCGGGGACGGGGGCAGGGGGCGCCCCCCCCCCCCCCCCCCACGGGGAAGAGGGAGGGGCGGAAGAGGAAACGCCCTACACCACCGACGCCCAGAGGGCCAGCGGGATTCAGGGCAGCTCCAGGCGCGCCCATCAGCTTCAGCGCGAGGCGGGTGAACTGGCGGGCGAAGCTCGGGAAGGCCCGCGCGATGTCGAGCGAGACCAACACAAGCAGCTTGGCCACGGCGTTGGGGTCGGCGGACGCGATGCGGCTTTTGACGTCCAGCTCGAGAATGTTGTAGCCGAAATTGCGGCGGCGGGCGAAACCGCGCTGCGATGCTGGGGCCGCGTCGGCAGCCACCGCGGCCATCGCAGCGTTCATCGTGCTGCTGATGATCTTGACGGGGGTGTTCCGAAGCCCCAGGACTCGGACTTTTGATGGGTCACGGTGGCAGCCGATGTGCTCAGCGTTGTCTGGTTCTGCCCCTGGGAAGAAATGCTTGGACCGTCGCGTTGGCTTCGTCGGGAAGGAGGCCGCCGCTGAGCATCCAGGTCATGACCCGCCAGAGGGTCTCAGTGCACTTCTCATGCGCGGACCGCGCGACGTGGGGGGGCCCGCCCATGCCAGGAGAGGTGGAGGGTGAGCTGTTCGCAAACCTCTTGAGCGTGTCGTAACCGGGGGGCTGGTATCTGTTGAAGACGATCTTGGGCGCGCAGCGGTCGAGGTAGTGTTCCGCCGACACGGCGTCCACAATCTTGCCTTGGAAGACGGGTTGCCAGTGCCACATCAGCTACTGCAATCTCTCAGCCGGCCCCGCCACAGTTCCCGCGGCCGTCTTCACACCGGCGAGCACTGCACACAGGTGAGCACTAAGCGCTTGCCGGCGAGCTGGATTCTACGGTGCAATGCTTGGGACTGTGCGCGGGCTTGGGCATGGGGAGGGCGCCCTCGCTGTCGTGCCAGATCGATGGCAGCTCGCCGTTGGTCAGCGTCTTGGCGGAAGAGGGCGCTGGCCCACTCCTCGAACGCGGCAGGGTCGATGAGCTTGATCTGGTCACTGCTGATGTCTAGGATGTCTTGCGCTTTAACATGAACGCGAAGGAGTCTGACCGCCGGCGCACGGCCCTCGCGCCAGACCGCACGGGCCAGCGACTTGGCCAGCTGGAGCCGGGCATCCTCCTGGTTTGGATGTTCTTCGTGAATGCGGTTTCGGGCAGCACGCGCAACTTCTCGAAGGAGTTCCGCATTCTGTTGACTGGCGGGGAAAGCTTGTCGAGGTCGGCGCGGGGGAACACCCTCTCTGCGATCTGCTTGAAGATGGGTGACTTGAAGATGCGCTGGGCGATCGGCTGGTTCTTCTCGGCCTTGCGGTCGCGCATGGCGAAGGAGACGAGAACTGCGGCGCGGTCGCTGACCCGTCGGCGGGACAGCAGCTCGGGGGTGGAGAAGGTGGTGGAGGCAACGGCGAGCTGGATCATCTGGGAGGGTGTGATCGAACAGAAGCAGCGGTCTCTGGTCGACTCCGCCAGCGTCTCCGCGCAGAAGTGGGTGGCGTCACTGCCTTAGATCTCCACCATGTGCTCGATTGAGTGCCCCATGCCACTTGCGCGCCGAAGCTTTGGATGTCTCGGTAGCCTCCGACGACGCTCTGGCGCTGGGCTCCGTGAGCTTCAGCTCCCCGACAGCGGCGAAGTTGAAGCCCCCGATGACGACAAGCACGATCTTGTTCGGGTCGGCCTTCGCAAGGTGCATGTCGCTGTTGATATTGGCCGAGATGCGCCTGGCCGCCGCATTGTTGATCTCGTAGTTGTGGATGCTGTAGAAGATCCGCCTCTGGTCTTCGGCCTGGAAGACAGCGCGCAAGACGCGCCCAGGGAGGGGGGGCTCGCTCACCGCATTGAGACCTGAGGGGAAGACTGCAGCAACACCGCCAGTGGCTTCCCCACGGTGACCTGGCGCGAAGGAGGAGTGCATGGAGAACTTGGTGCTGATCTTCCGCATGAAGGCGAGGAGCTGGGCGCGGTTCTGGTGGGCCTCCTGGATGCCGAGGATCATTTTGTCGAGTGTGGGGGAGCGCAGGTGGGAAGACTTCTCCACCACTCGGCGCCCTTGGTAGCCGAGGAGAGCTCGCGCATTCCATGTCCCAACCACCAAACTCGGAGAAGGACCGCGCGGCGCACGCTTCAAGCTTTTGGCAACCTTGTCAAAGCCAAAACTGGGGGGCAGCCTCGGGCGTAACCACGTCGCTGATGGTGTCCTCGATCTGCGCGCGGGTGATGCCCAGAGCGGGGGGGGGGCCGTGTCCTGGTAGGCGATCGTCGTAGCTTCATCACGTCTGGGATGTATTGTAAAGAGGGAACGGGAGACCAGTTGGCCGAGATCCAGCCCTTGGCGCGGTCGGCTCTCCAGGTGTGGTTAGGGAATGCCCGCTGCAAGGCCTGGCGGATGCGCTTGCCGACGATCTCTGTATTGATTTGCTTGGGAGATTTGTTGGCCCCACCCGCAGCTCAACAGACCCATTGCCTGCGATAGCTGGGGCACGGATGCGGGGCCAATTGCCATCGCGATTGCGGAGACAGTCCAAGGCTTTCTGAACTCGGCGAGCGGCGGGCCCAGGGAGGCCCGTGAACTGAACCGCGAAGTATCTGGAGGCGTCTTGGCCCTGGACCTGGAAGTGCGATTCCTCGATGCCGCTCTCGGTGATCCACTTGGTGAGGGCCTCAGTTGTTTTGTCGCGCGTGACCAGGCCATCAGCATGCACTTTGACAATAGTGAGGCCCACGTTCCTGTCGAAGTCGCGGCCCACGAAGGTATCCTGCACTGGTTGCTTGCTGGCCACTTCGAGAGCTTTCTGGAGCGCCGCGATCTGGTAAGACATGTGGGAGATGGCCTCGTCGGTCTGGTCTTGGCGGCTCTCGACATCACCCGTGCGCTGGGTGAAGGCGTCGAACTGTTGCTGGAAGGACCTGCGGGTGGCGTCGATCTGCTGGCCCACGGCGAGGCCGACTGCTTGTGATCTTGCTCGAGAGGCCGTTGATGCCAGCTTGGGCCGCGGCGATGGCAGCAGTGATGGGGCCCGTGGCCGCGCCCATCGCCGAGGAGACTGAAGCATTGATGGTGTCCCTGACGGCCGATTCCATGGAGTCGAGCTTGTCTTTGAGGGACTGGACGTAAGCCATGGTGGCGAAGGTGTCGAGGGCGGCCTCGTCATTGGGCGGTGGGGTCCTCGAGCGATCACTGCGCCCACCAGGAGGATCAGCATCAGCACGGCCCGTGCGCTTCTGGATGCCACTGCGTCGGAGCGTCCCATCTGCGACCGCGGCTGAGGGAGAAGCGTCCGCCGCCATGAGAGATTAAAACTGGGGTGACGTACACCTTAGGCGATGCTTAAGAAAACCTAAGTTTTCGGCCAGAGTCTCGATTATTCTTAACGTTTCAATGTAGATCCCAAGATGTTCATGGAAATGTTGGGTTTTTATTCAAATTCTGAGACTATGAATTTCTTAACCCATGATTTCTTAAGCATTTCGCAGGGTGTACGATAAACGGGACACCCTTGTCCCGAGCACGCTCGAATGCCGTCCGCGGACTGGCGGTCCCCCTTCGGCCTGGAGGCTGGCAGCCTCCAGAGGTCGGCATCTTGAGCCCAAATGGCTACGGGCGCGCGGTAAGGAGGAGGAGGAGGAGGAGGAGGAGGAGGAGGAGGAGGAGGAGGCGGAAGGGGAGAAAATGAGGACCAGGAGGAGAAGAGTTTCTTGGGGCCCTCTTGGGGCCTCCCAGAGGCTCTTGGGATCCTCCTGGGGAGCCTCTTGGGGCGCCTCCTGGGGGCCTCCTGGGGACTTTGGTCTGATCCACCCCGCGCAGCGAGGCGTGTCCGGCACAGCCGGCGCCGAGACCCACGCGGGCCGCAGAGCGTCGGCCCGGCTGCGCGGCGCACAAAGATTGGCCGCGGCGAGCGAGCAGCCTCGCGGAAGCGATGGCTCGGGCCGAACGAAATGGAGGGAAAGGGGGGGTTACGAAATCTGTTGCGTGCAGCTGATTTCGGCCCCACCGAGGGGCCCATTCCTCGATACATAGCCGCCTCCAGCGCCGGGAGGCGCCGGGAAAATCAGCTACGTGAGCTGATTCTCAAACCCCCTTTTTGCGATCCCCCCTTTCGCCCAGCCCGAATGGCCAGCCGCGTCGGCAAAGAGGATGGCCTGGAGAGCGCTGGCCAGGAGTGCGGCGCCTGCTGCAGGAAACACAGGGAGCAAGACTGCGAAGAGAGATCGACGGCCTGGCCTGCGTGGGGGGCGCCGAACGCGGCGCCGAGAGAGTCAGTCGGCGAAGGGGTCGCCAAGATCTGCGAGGTGGTCGACGCGCTGGATGGCGCGGCTCTGTCGCCCAGACGGATCGAGAACGAGCTGCGCAGCCTCCGCCAGCAGCTCTCCGATCCGCAGCGTTCGGGAGGGCACAAGAAGGTCTCTCTGGCGCGTCCCCCCGGAACTCTCGAGTCTTCCGGAGGACCTCTGGCCAGGCCGCGGGGGCCCCAAGGACCCCTGAGGGCCTCTGGCCTCGATCGTCGGGCGGTCTGGGGCGAGGTCGTGGGCAGACAGCACGGCGTGGCGGGCCTGGCCCCTGGGCTGCGACCCCGTGCAAGCGGGGCGTTCTCTCGCGCATGCCCCGCGCGGGTCGCATCCATGCGACCGCGCATCTACGGGATCGCGCCTTGGCATCGAGACCGCGAGGGCGCGGATATGTATATATGTATATATATATATGTATATATGTAATTATATATATAAACAAATAAATAAATAAATAAATAAACAAATAACTAAATAAATAAATAAATAAATAAATAAATTTGCATATATATATATATATATATATATATATATCGTTCTAGCTATCTATGTATCTATATGTACACGTACATCCGTTCGCCGCTCGTAACGAGAGGGTCTCCCCGAGGCGGCGGCGAGCGACGGCGAGACTCACCTCGTCCTCGGCAACGCGATCGAGGCGCCGTGGGGGCTGGAAGCGACCGGCAGGTCACTGAGATATTGGGCCTGCTCGGGGGGGGGAAGGAGGCGAGAAGGGGAGGCGGAAGGCAAGGAGGAGAGGGGGGAGGAGGAGCCAGGGAGGGAGGAGGAGCAGGCGATGAGAAATGGGAGGAGGAGGAGGAGGAGGAGGAGGAGGAGGAGGAGGAGGAGGAGGAGGAGGCAAGGGGGGAGAAGCAGGGGGAGGAGGAGTAGCAGGAGGGGGGAGATGGGGGGAAGGATGAAGAAAGTCTGGAGTCGGTCACGGGTCACACGTTGTGGCGCCGGTTGTCGCTAAATGATTCTGCTGCGGTAAGGTTTCCGCTTGCCCAGCACTTCACGACTGCTCCTATGGGCGACACCACGCCGCATCGGTGGTCGCAGGGCTGGTCTGCCGCGGGAGGTGGAGGAAGAGGAGGTGGAAATGAGCCTCAGGGCGGAAGTTGACAGAGGGGGAAGGCCGGAGGCGGAGGGGGGAGGAGGAGAGGGAGGAGGAGAGGGAGAAGGCGGAGCAGGGGGGGGAGGAGGCCGAGGGCGAAGCGGGGGCAGGGAGGGCAGGGAGCGGCGGGAGGCAGAGGGCAGAGGGCAGAGGGCCCGCTCCGCACCCGGGGGCTGCCAGCACGCTCCCCGCCACTCGAGCGGCCCTGGCCCTTCGGCCACGGGGCACGGCGGGCGGCGGGAGGGTGGCCGCGAGGCGCGCGGCGGCGTGCCCGGGAGAGCGGAGGGCGCGGGAGGGGGGTCGGGGGCGGAAAAGAGGGGGGTGATGACTAGGGAGGGGTGGATATCATGGCGGGGGCCATGATATTTCCCCAGCTTTCATGGCGCCTCTTCTCATTTCATTACGTCCCTGGCCCCCCCGCTGGGCCGCGCACATGCCGCCGGTCATGATTTGCACCTCCCCCTCTTGGACACCCCCCTCTTGGCCGCTCCCGAGGGGGAGCCGTGCCAGGTGCCGGCGTCGGGCGGGTGCGTCGGCTGGCATCCCAGAGCTCAAATCAGGCGATCGCGGACATGGATCCGGGGGGCGTGGATTAGCGACGGGTCCCGTCTCCATGGGAAATCGCGGATCTCTCCCGCCGAACGAGGCGGCACCGGCCGCATGGGGAGGGCATTTCCCCCGACCCATGGATTTGGCGACCGCGCGCCAAATCCATGGATTGCTAATCCATGTTTGCGCGCCCCCGAACAAAAAAGGCACAAGCACAAAAATGTGAGACGGTCCGCCCGAGCGAAGGCTTCTGGTTCTGCAGCCGCTTCTTCCTCGCAGTCGCGGTGTAGGGGAGGTCGCTGTGCGGTTCGAGGCGCTACTTTTTAAGTCGGGCATGTCCCTCTACAGGAGGAAAAGTCAAAAAGAGTCAAAAATAGTCTGGGGACGATTTCGTTATTATTGTTTCAATATTATTGAGCTTTCTGAGGGTATTTTTCATTTGTCGTCCAAAATCCGACTATAGGGGGAAATGTCCGACCTTACGCTACTTCTCGCCAAGGACTGCGAGATTGCCCACGCACGGACAGCGTCTCGCGTGTTCAGACCAAGTGTCGACCGGCGGCAATTCAGTCAGCTCGGGTACGACATACGCAAATATCTTCGTAATGATGTTGTCTTGCGCACCTCTCCGAGGGAGCAGGGCCTTTGAGCTAAAGCCGTGTTTTTGTTGTTGGACGTTTCGTTCAGGACATCCTCAACAATTTGAAAATTCACGCACCCCATCACGCAGATCGCGACGTCACGGTCCAAAAACTACACCCTGCCAACAATTTGAACACAAAGATTCCAAACCACAAGGTAGCTCATGATTCCGGACACGATTCTTACAAAACGCGGGTCCGTTTGAGACGTATCACCACACACACACACACACACACACACACAGAACGCACTCAGACACACACACACACACACACACACACATAAACACACACCTAACCCACGGAACACATTACCCACATATTACAGAACACACACACACTTGTTGTCAATCGCGGCCTCGCGAGCGGCGACGAGGCGGAGCAAGCGACGAACACACACACACACACACACACACACACGCGCGCGCACACACCGAACACATTCACACATACACATACAAAATATATCACAGCACACGCAACAGATAGCACACACACAAACACGCATACAGAACACTCACAGGCAACACATCACAGACACCAATCACACAGACAACACAAACCACACACACGCACAACACACAGAACAGATAACACAAAACACCCCCACACACACACACACACACACACACACACACACACACACACACATTGACGCACACGCACACACACACACCACACACACACACACCACACACACGCACACCTTTTTCCGTCGCAGCGCGGCCGAGGCAATCCGCACGCGCGCTCTAGGGGGTCGGGCTACGAGACGGCACTAGTTGTCCAGCTGCAACAGGCGGGAAGGGGGGAGGAGGGCGGCCGCGGAGGGCGGGGAGGAGAGGGGGACACTCACGGCGCGAAGAACAGCACCGTGGGCGGCCAGTGCGGCCAGCCCGTGTTGAGGCGCCCTGGCAGAGGACGCGGGGCGGCACCACGGCCACACCCCGGGGGGTGAGGCAGAGGTTGCAGGCGTGAAAGCGCGGAGCAAGTCGAGGCAACGCAAGAGGAGGAGCAGCTAGCGTGCCCACGGAGCCGGGCGGCTTCTGGACGTCCACTGGAACCTCTCAGGTGTCAGAATGCTGCAGGTGCTGCACCGGGGGGCTGCGTGCAGGCCACGAGGATTGGGCCGGCAAGCCCAGCGCAGCAAAATGCTGCGGCGAAGCCAAGCTGTGCTGCTGACGCTGGGATGCGGGGCTGCAGGCGGC